AGAATCACAGAATCAGGGTATCACAGAATCACAGAATGGTTGAGGCTGGAAGGGACCACCAGAGGTCATCTAGCCCAACCTCCCTCTTCAGACAAGGTCACCTTGAGCACATTGCTCAGGACTATGTCCAGGCAGCTTTTGAATATTCCCAGGGAAGGCAGCTCCACAGCCTCCCTGGGCTCTATTACAATGCTCAGTCACCCTTACAGTAATGAAGTTCTTCCTCATGCTCAGGTGGAACAACCTGTATTTTAGTTTATGCCCACTGCATCTCATCCTGTCACCTGATGCCACTGAGAAGAGTCTGGCTCCATCCTCTTGGTACCCTCCCTTCAGATACTTACCAACATTGATCAGATCTCCCCTGAGCTGAACAGGCGCAGCTCCCTGAATCATTCTAGTAGCCCTTTGCTGGACTTGCTCCAGGAGCTCCATGTCTGTCTTTTACTGGGGAGTCCAGACCTGGACACAGTACTCCAGGTGTGGCCTCCCCAGGGCTGAGAGGCAGGATCACCTCCCCAGATATGCTGGCAATGCTCTTCCTAATGCAGCCCAGGATACCACTGGCTTTTTTGGCCACTGGTACACATGCTGGCTCAAAGACAGTTGTCCACCAGGACCCCCAGCTTTCTCTCCGCAAAGCTGCTTCCCAGCAAGTCAACCCCTAATGTGCACTGGTGCATAGGGTTATTCCTGCCCAGGTGCAAGACCCTGCACTTGCCCCCTCAGGGGGCATCAGTGGTTAAAGGTCTCCAACTAGGTTCTGTGCCACTGATCACAGCCCTCTGAGATCTGCCATTCAGCCAGTTCTCCACCTCACCATCCCCTTGTTCAGCCAGTGCTTTCCGGGCTTTCCTGTGAGGATGTCATGGGAAACAATGTCAAAACCTTTGCTCAAGTCCAGGTAGGCAACATCCGCTGCTCTACCCTGATCTATCCAGCCAGTTGAGCCATCTTGGAAGGCAAACAGGTTGGTTAAGCATGATTTCCCCCTGACGAATCTATACTGAGTACTCCTGGTCATCTTCTTGTCTTCCATGTGCTTAGAGATGGCTTCTAGGATGAGCCATTCCACAACCTTTTCAGGGATTAAAGTGAGACTGACTGGCCTGCACATGTAGCCCTTTAAGCTTGTACTTAATCTTTTCCCAAAAGATAATGTGCTGTAACATTACCTACTGCTTCTTCTCTGTCATAAAGATGCATTTCACTATGCTTGGTTGTAACCAGAATTGACATTTCTTTTTTTACTTGAAGGGGTTTAGAGCATGATAATAGTGTCTTTGGTCATTATAATGGTATGTTCACCATTTTAAGCACTGTAATATTCACTTTGAAATTTGTGTGCTGATGAGAGTTGAAGTAACAGTGGATAGCTTTGCCTAGGAAACACTGGTTTTATTCTCTTCTTTAGTAAATGACAGTGTTATAAGTGGCAGCAATACAAAATGTCATTATATCCTATTAAATTAAAAAGCAGTATTTTCAGAAAAAATATTTTGTTAGTTAACAAGTATTACAAGGCATTTCCTAGGAGCAGATCCAGGTAGCGTGGTAATACTGAAGCAGTGTGCATCCAAACATATGCCAGAGTGAAGAGTTTAATTTTTCCTTTCCTTTAGGGTTCATTCAAACAAAGTAGGATATTTTTGTTCAAAACACAAAACCATGTTTTGAGCAATTTTTTCAGATAGTATTTCATTCCATCAAACAAAATAAAAAAAACCTCCATAATATCTTTTTCAGTCTTCTGTCATAATAGTCCAAAACTCTTTTGGAGGTTTACGTTTTTTACAGTACTTTAAACCAGCAGTGGAAAATAAAGGACTGTTTAGTTAGCACTCAGCAAATGCTCTTTACTGACAAGGAATACGGCAGAATCATAGTATGTGGAGAACAAATCTCACATTGATCACTGAAAGTAATGGGTCATTGAACTCTGCTCCTCGGTGTCTATACATTATAAAATTCAAGCATGTTGCTGATTGTCTGCCTATTATGCAACTAGAATGTAAAAGATTTACAGGGTAAATTACTATTGAAATACACCAGGTCACTGAGACTAAACAAGAACTGCTGTATTTAGCTTACTGAAAACATTAGTTTTCCCTTTTCATGTCCTCAGTCTTCCTGAGGCTAAAGTTTTTTACAAGGACAATGGTTTGTGTTTTGGATTAATCAGACACCTTGGTCATTTGAAAGGTCATATATGCAAGGAACAGCAAATTCTCTTTTTTAAATGACCTGTGGAGAATTATGGGAATCAAAATCTGCAGAAGCCATTAATGGAAATGTATGTCTACAAGGAAACATGACAGTGATAATCCTATTAAATTCTTTGAATCTAAGCTCCTACTTATGTGGCGTTGGGTGGGGATACATTTGGCTGGTTTTCATAGTCAGTTGCATTTTTGCAATATGAAAAATGCAAGCCTTTGGAATTATAATCAAGGACAAGATCTCTTGTTGCTTAAAAAAGTCTTCATAACTAGAAGATGAGACATAAGGAAACCAGATAAAAAAAAATCTAAGAATAAAGTAAGTTGCTTTGGGAATAATAAGCATTTGAATGCACATAGTTCAGAGAATGAAAAGTCATGTCTGACTGCAGTAAAATGAAAGGGATTACATTCATGAACAAAGAAACTCATGTAAGGCTCTGGAGCAAGAGTCTGAAAAACAAGGCTGAGTGAATTCTGTTTATACTGGTGTGATTCTTCAGGTTGTATGTCTTCATCAATTTCTTATATTTCACCTTTGCAGAGTACTCACGTAGTTCCTTCTGTAAAGCTTAATATTTTTACTGTGTATTCTGCTTTTGAAATTTTCAATTTCCTCCTGACATAAGAGGAATGAATTGATCCTCAACTCATAACTGTTCAAAGCTAAGCTCTTTTAGAGACCTTAATGGACTAACATCCTCTGACGTTTGAGCTACTCCTATTTGCAAAGTTGCTATGGTGACAAATGAGGTTCTGGTTTAAAAAAAAAAAAAGTAATAATTCTTTTTTTGCTTAACTGCAAATTCCAGAAGAACTCAGCATGGTTCCAGAACATTTCTGCCAAAATGAATGCAGGGTGCCCTTTCTTTCTGAGCACTTGTATCTTTAGTGAAATTTAAGTCTACAGGGTGCTTTGGTTACACTATCTTATGATGGCTTACTCAAATTACTATCAACCATATTTAAAATAGCACAGTGTTCATTTCTTAAAGGACAGATCAGGGATTGCTCAAGGTAACAATGTGTAGCACTAAATGCCTGGGGCTTGCTTCAGTTACCTTTTCCTTGTTCTGATGAAGTAAAACAACCCTGAAGACAGTATGATCCTTTACCTTAAATTCCTCTGTGCGGCACTGCAAACCCATCACACATGGCTTAAAGGTGCTTAGACTCATGCCCTGTGGCTCTGGCACTGTGAGCAATGGCACTGGACCCAGGGTTACAAATATAGCTGTAGCAGTTTTTACCTATGTTCATCCCTCTGGTCTGACAGTAAGCAAAGCCAGCTGAGGCAATTTGATCCATTTTCTGTCTCTCAACATCATTAAACTTTTTGTGCATGAAGCATTTTGTAAACAGGGATCTGAATATGTAGTGATAATGGCTGTTACAAGAATGGATCACTAGTGAACTTAGCACCCACACAGACCAGCTTCCAAAGCAGGTGACAGATTTTTGAAGCTATTTCATATTTTCTCACCTAGGGCCCTGATACACAATAGGATTCCCTTCCAGGGTGATCTCTCCTAAATGTGTAGCAGGTTGGTTTCTATTTCAGTGCAGTTTTTTTAAGCACCCTGTATTGTTCAAAAAGGGGAGAAGTGAGAGATGCTTTAGGTAATTTTCTCTCTCAGTTGATCATATGGGGACAGAAGAGATACTAATATTTTACCGTTATTGAGCAGTTGACTGAGCAGCTGACTCAGAGCTTAAAGCCAGACATAGTCACAAGTTCAAGGCAAAGTGTAAATGCTTAGAGTAAGCTTGCTTCACCATGAATTACCTTCTAGAGCAGGTACTGCTCTCTGTTAGAAGGTGGTAGCCAGCGGCTTCACTCCTGGCTGAGCTTGGAGCCAGGACATGGAGGTTTCCTTTCTGCAGAGCAGGTCTGAGTATCAGCAGAGTGGTGGCAGTCAGCAACTGAGGAGTGCCTTGAGTGTGCTCCCAAGTTGCCCATTAACTGCATTTCATTCAGACTGAAGAAGAGCAGTATTTTACTCTGCCCATGGCAGGGGGTTTTAACTGGATGATCTTTAAGGTCCCTTCCAACCCAAACCATTCTATGATTCTAACAGAGCTTTGTACGGTAAGCTGTTTCACCACCACTACTGAAGGTACCATGGTGTTTCAAGGCCTAAGATAGTCCAATTCAGCTGTAGTCATGTTTAGCACTTGTATAATTTGAATGGGAGGTAAATCAAAGTTCAAACTCTGCCCATGTCCGTGGCTTAATGTACAGTGTAAACATTGCTGTCATCCATATAGGCCAAAGACCTATATTGGAACACGCTGGAGAGAAACAACAGAAGGAAGACAGAATGGTTTTGAAGTTTTAAAGATAAATTTAGATTCTGATTTTTAAAAAGTGAAAGATGGCAAATGAATAAGCTGTTGATTTTGTTTCAAAGCTCTGGTTTTATATTATAAGGTTTGCATTAAAATGTGAAAATTCTTCTAATTGTGTGGGTGAATGTTTCACCTGTTCTTTCTAAAAATACAGGAAGAATGTTGATGGCCGGAGAAAATATTGAAAAACTGCTTTTTTTTAGCATGCAAAAGTAAAACCTGTGATTATATTATTCCTGAAGTAATAATTCCTGACAGATAATCCTTAATTTAGTTGAAATCCATAAATAAACAGAATCATGTTACCCTGGATGTCAAAATCAGTATTGTCTTTTTTGACTTGCAACTATTCTGTTTGAAATTGATTTAAGGGGAATTTGCTTTAGCTTCATTCTCTTCATTCTCTCTCTCTCTCTGTCTTTTTTTTTTAAGGTCAACTCAAATCAAAACATACTCTTGGGATAATGCCCAGGTTATTTTGGTCGGTAACAAGTGTGACATGGAGGATGAACGGGTAATCTTCACTGAGAGAGGCAAACATTTAGCAGAGCAACTTGGTAAGAAATTACAAAAGCTTTATGATTACTTGTGAGAAATCACAAAGTAACATCACTAATTGCTACAGTACTTGTAATGAAATGTTTGTGACACATTCACTGTAAAGGAATAGTCATACACCACCTCCCTTTTGTTTCTGCAGGCTGAGGTCTGAAATGTCCCTGTTGATACCACTAATACTGTAACATCATTAGAATGGATATGTGTCCAGGGATGACCTTATACAGAACTGCGACATGTCTGCCATCTAAAAGTGTCCACAAGACCAGTGCTGGCTTAGAGGCCAGGTTAGAATAAAGGCGTATCTGACAAAACATTACTAATTCTGATCCTTATTATAGCCTTTGTGATAACCAGCAAGACTAGGCATGTGTCTGTATATATACAGTATGTTTAGATAGTTATAGATATAGGCAGATGCATCTGAGTGACGGGAACCCTAAAAAAAAAAACCTCCAACAAACTAACAAAAAAAAAAAGAGGAGAGAGTGTGAACTACACGTCTTTGCGAGATGAGAACATTTAGGTTATGATTACCAGTCATCCAAACCAGAATGACACCAATATCCAGCTTCTACTGCTAATAGTTCAACTACTGCACATTCACACAGGTGTAAATAATGTGAACCTCTGTTTCATAAAGTCTCTACCTAGGAGGCAGACGTTGTCCACTCAGAAAACTATGGAGCTGTGACATCTCTGTTCTGTTTCTGCCCAGCAATGGTATTCTTTCATACCACGAAAAGTTCTTGAGGTGACACTGGCCAAACTGCAATGGAAAATCTCTACAGCATCGTCTTAATACTAATACCAACCCTTTTTTTTTCCTTCGAACTTGCTGTCTCTGGAGAGCATTCTCAGCAGGTGTGCAAATCAAACCCTGTCATCCTTTGAAATTAATTTCTGTGCTGTACTGGGCATAGGTTTATTACTGTTTTTAAAACTGGCAGTGGTAAAGGCTCAGTCTGGTGAACATCAGTGTAACCACAATCTCCTCGTCATTATTCTTATATAGGAGCTTAGGGGAAAGGGTGTTGTAAGAGTAACTGCATGGGAAACAGAGAGAGATGGTGCCTTTTCATAGTATACTACCTCTGCTGGATCTGATCCCATGCTAGTGCTTCTTAGAATAGAATCACAGAATCATAGAATCATTAGGGTTGGAAAGGACCTTAAGATGATCTAGTTCCAACCCCTCTGCCATAGGCAGGGACACCTTACCATAAATCATATCACCCAAGGCCTCGTCCAACCTGGTCTTGAACACTGCCAGGGATGGAGCATTCACAACCTCCCTGGGCAACCCATTCCAGTGCTTCACCACCCTCACAGGAAAGAATTTCCTTCTTATATCCAACCTAAACTTCCCCTGTTTAAGTTTTAACCCGTTACCCCTTGGCCTGTCACTACAGTCTCTAAAGAGTCCTTCCCCAGCATTCCTATAGGCCCCCTTCAGATACTGGAAGGCTGCTATGAGGTCTTCATGCAGCCTTCTCTTCTCCAGGCTGAACAGCCCCAACTTCCTCAGCCTCTCTTCATACGGGAGGTGCTCCAGTCCCCTGATCATCCTCGTGGCCCTTCTCTGGACTTGTTCCAACAGCTCCATGTCCTTTTTGTGTTGAGGACAACAGAACTGAACACAGTACTCCAGGAGAGGTCTCACAAGAGCAGAGTAGAGGGGCAGGATCACCTCCTTCAACCTGCTGGTCACGCTCCTTTTGATGCAGCCCAGGATACAGTTGGCTTTCTGGGCTGCAAGTGCACACTGCAAGCTCATGTTCATTTTCTCATTAAGCAACACCCCCAAGTCCTTCTCTGCAGGGCTGCTTTGAATCTCTTCTCTGCCCAACCTGTAGCTGTGCCTGGGATTGCTCCGACCCAGGTGTAGGACCTTGCACTTGTCATGGTTAAACTTCATGAGGTTGGCATTAGTCCACCTCACAAGTGTGTTAAGGTCCCTCTGGATAGCATTCCTTCCCTCCAGCGTATCAACCGAACCACACAGCTTGGTGTCATCGGCAAACTTGCTGAGGGCGCACTCAATCCCACTGTCAACGTCAGTGATGAAGATGTTGAACAAGACCGGTCCCAACACCGATCCCTGAGGGACTCCACTCGTTACTGGTCTCCTGCCAGACATTGAGCCATTGACCACAACTCTTTGCGTGCAGCCATCCAGCCAGTTCTTTATCCACCAAGTGGTCCATCCATCAAATTGATGTCTCTCCAATTTAGAGACAAGGATGTCATGTGGGACAGTGTCGAACGCTTTACGCAAGTCCAGGTAGATGACATCAACTGCTCTACCCCTGTCCATCAGTTCTGTAGCCCCATCATAGAAGGCCACCAAATTGGCCAGGCAGGATTTCCCCTTAGTGAAGCCATGCTGGCTGTCACCAAGCACCTTGTTGTTTCTCATGTGCCTTAGCATGCCTTCCAGGAGAATCTGCTCCAAGATTTTGGCAGGCACAGAGGTGAGACTGACTGGTCTGTGGTTCCCTGGGTCATCTATATTCCCCTTCTTGAAAATGGGGGTTATATTTCCCTTTTTGCAGTCATTGGGAACTTCACCTGACTGACATGATTTCTCAAATATGATGGCCAGTAGCTTCGCAACTTCATTCACCAGCTCCTTCAGGACCTGCGGATGGATCCCATCAGGTCCCATGGACTTGTGCACATTCAGATTTTTAAGATGGTCTTGAACCAGTTCCTCTCCTACAGTGGGCGCAAGGTCTTCATTCTCACAGGCCCTGCATCTGCCTTCCAAGACCTGGGTGGTGCAGTCAGAGCCTTTGCCAGTGAAGACCGAGGCAAAGAAGTCATTCAGAACCTCAGCCTTCTCCAAATCCTATGTAGCCAGTTCTCCTGCTAGCTTCCGGAAGGGGCCTACATTCTCCCTAGTCTGTTTTTTATTTGATATGTACCTGTAGAATCCCTTCCTGTTATCTTTAATACCTCTAGCCAAGTTTAATTCTAACTGGGCCTTAGCTTTTCTAACCTGGTCCCTAGCTTCCTGAACAACATCCCTGTATTCTTCCCAGGCCACCTGTCCTTGCTTACACCTTTTATAAGCCTCTTTTTTCAACTGAATTTTCCTCAGGAGCTCCTTATCCATCCAAGGAGGTCTCCTGGCCCTCCTGCTGCACTTCCTTCTGGTTGGGATGCAACACTCCTGAGCTTGTAGCAGGTGATCCTCAAATATCAACCAACAGTCTTGGGCCCCCTGCCCTCTTGGGCTACATCCCATGGAACCTTCCGAAGCAGGTTCCTGAAGAGTCCAAAGTCTGCTCTCCTGAAGTCCAGGGCAGTGAGCTTGCTGCACGCTCTTCTCACTGTCCTGAGGATCTCAAATTTGAGCATCTCATGATCGCTGCATCCAAGGCTGCCCTGGAGAGTCACATTTCCAACGAGCCCTTCCCTGTTGGTGAGCACGAGGTCAAGCATGGCACCTCTCCTTGTCGGCTCCTCTATTACTTGCAGAAGGAAGTTGTCTTCCACACAATCGAGGAACCTCCTGGATTGCTTGTGCCAGGCCATACCGTCCTTCCAACAGATATCAGGGTGGTTGAAGTCACCCATGAGAACAAGGGCCTGCGAGCGTGAGGCTCTTCCCATCTGTCTATAGAGTGCTTCATCCGCAGGTTCTCCTTGATCAGGCGGTCTGTAACAGATCCCCACAGTAATGTCTCCCACAGCTATATTCCCTTTAACCCTGACCCACAAACTCTCTGTGGACTGCTCACCTGTCCCCAGACAGTTCCATACTCTCCAGCCTATCCCTAACATAAAGGGCAACTCCCCCTCCCCGCCTGCTGGGCCTGTCTTTTCTAAAGAGTTGTAACCTTCCATTCCAACACTCCAGTCATAGGAGCCATCCCACCATGTTTCTGCGATGCCTATTATATCATACCCCCATAGACATGCACACATCTCTAATTCCTCTCATTTGTTCCCCATGCTATGGGCATTTGTATAGAGGCATCTAAGCAGAGCTCCAACTGAAGCCGGCTCATTGGCTGGAGCGGCTGGGATATCTCTACATTGCTCCGAGCATTTATTATAGGTTCTAGCTACTGGCTGTGTGTGTTGGGATGGAATGATGCCCCCCTCCCCCAACACATCTAGTTTAAAGCCTCCTTGACCAGCCTGGCAAGCCTCCTACCAAAACTGCTCTTTCCCTTCTGTATCAGACCAGCTCCACCAGCCCCCACTAGACCTGGCCTACAAGCGTGGGTCCCGTGTTCAAGACACCCAAACCCCTGACTATGACACCACCCTTTTAACCAGTTATTAACCTGGCCAATCCTCCTAGCTTTTTTTAGGTCCTCCCCTGTACCCTGGAGAATTGACGAAAAGACCACCTGAGCTCCAGAGCCCCTAACCACCTCCCCCAGGGCTCTGTAGTCCTTCTTTATGTTCCCCAGGCTACTACTATCTATATCCCTAGCACCCACATGTATCACCAGGAGTGGGTAATAGTCCGTGGGACTTACTAGAGCAGGCAGCCTCCATGCCACATCCCTGATCCGTGCCCCTGGTAGGCAGCACACCTCCCTTGAGACGGGGTCTGGCCGGCAGACAAGTGCTTCTGTCCCTTTCAGTGTAGAGTCCCCTACTACTACAACCCGCCGCTTTTTCCTGGCAGCACCAGTAGAGATTTTCTTTACCAGCGCATCAGCCTGGCTGTTTCTGGCTCGAGTGCATTTCCTCATTAGCCCCCTGCAGGACAGCAAAGCGGTTCTGTGTGGGGACAGGGGGTTTAGGGGGAAGCCCCTTTGCTTTTGGTGAAGCTCGAGGCCCCTGCACAGTTTGGGCCAGGAGCAAGCATTCCTGCTTCCTCTCAGCTTCCCTGACATCTCGCAGCCTACTGACAGCGTCCCGCAGCTCAGCCCCTGCTGCAGGAGGACCTCCACCAGGGAGCACCGAGTGCAGCCCTGCCCATTGTGCACCCTCCCCTCACCAGACCAGTGCAGGCACTCTCTACACCCCGAGCTCT